CGGGGGCTCTGCTGCCTTGAGGGCGGCAGGGGGCGGGGGCTGGTGCACAGGGTCCAGGGCGGTGTTGTGGACAACCTTGCTGAGCCCAGCTTCCTGCTTGATCTTGAGCTTGAGGCCGATGCGGCTACGGGCCTCGTAGGTCTTGATGGGAGGGCGGTTGCGGGAGGGCATGGGGCCGTCCTCATCGGCGTCCAGGGAGGAGGCGGCTGAGGAGGAGGAGGAGGAGGACAGGGAGGAGGACGCCCGTGCCCAGGTCACCGAAGGGGAGCCCCCCGCCCCACCGTGCCGAATCACCAGCTTGGTTGGCAGGTGCAGAGGGGGCTGGGTGGGGGCCCCGGACACTGAGGATGGTGCTGGGCCGTGACCAGGGAGCCGGTGTCCCTCGGAAGAGGCAGCGATGGGGAGGCCAAGAGAGCGCGAGGAAGACACATACTCATCTGCAAAAGGGGGGGGGGGCGGCAGGGAAAGCATGAGACGCCTGTGAGGAGCTAAGAGGAGCCCGCATGCGATGGGCATCGACAATCTGCCAGGCCTGGGGGCCAAACCCTTGACTCATCAGACCCTCAGGACGCACTGCTGGGTACCACTCTTTTCAGCGATCCCCAAACCCCCTAATGTGCAAGCAGGAGCTGACGCCAGAGAATGGCCCTTCAATTTTGCAACCACCCCGGGACGCCTGGGTGGCTCAGTCGGTTAAGCGTCTGCCTTCGGCTCAGGTCATGATCCCAGGGTCCTGGGATCGAGTCCCGCATCGGACTCCCTGCTCCGCGGGGAGCCTGCTTCTCCCTCTGCCTCTGTCTCTCTCTCTCTCTGTCTCTCATGAATAAATAAATAAAATCTTTAAAAAAAATGAAAAAAATAAAAATAAATAAATTTTGCAACCACCCCAGTCCTGGCTCTGCTCCCTGCTTTTCTGTCCCCCTGGGGGTGGTGGGATGTCCCAGCCAGAATGGAGTGGAATGGACACACAGGGACGGAGGAGAACAAACTCAGTTCTCTCCAGTTCCAGAGCCCGGAGGTCAGGGTAGGCCCTGCCACTGCAGGAAGGTGGGGTGGAGAAAGGTCAGGCCGTGCACCCCGTCTTCCTGCCCCCAGGTTGAATTCCACTGCAGGGGCAGGAGCTGGGGACCTCTCTCCCTCCCCTCCCCTCCCCTCTCACCCGGCTTCTCCTTGGCCAACTGTTTGTCCAAGGCAAGGGTGGTCTTCTCCTCCTGAATGAACATTCGGTCGATCATCACCATCTCCGCGGAGGGGCTCACCCTCTGAGGGGGAGGAAGAGAGGATGGGCCAGGGAAGGAGCCAGGCAAGGGAGGGCCCGTGGGCAACCCGGAAGGATGGGAAGGGATTCCAAACGGTCTTGGGATCTGACTACCAGCCTCCCTTCCTCCCGAGGCTTCAAGGAGAAGGCCCCCCACCCCAACGGGCCCAAAGTGGGCAAGGGGAATGGGCGGGGCCTCCCAGGGAGGAATGTGCCAGCACCCTACCCGGGACTCCTCCAGAAGCAGGAGGCGGTATTTATTGAGCATGGCCTGGGTGCGTTTCAGCAGCTGTGTGGAGACCGTCTCAAACTCCTCGTCCACTGCGGAGGAAGAGAAAAGGTCCAGGGGCACAGACGCCGGGGAGCGGGGCTTGCTTGTCCTGAGCCTCAGTCAAGCGGACGCAGAGGGGTGTCTGCCCCTGCGTGTGTGTGTGTGGTCTCTTTCCACCCCCCCTCCCCACGCCAGGGACCAGGGAGGGAGAGTCCCGGGGGAGCAGGGGGAAGGAGTGGGGGGCTCACCTTTGTGGTAGTCATTGGGGGAGGGGAGGGCACCCTGGTAGACGTGGTAGGGCAGGAGGCGATGCAGGGCATCCTCGAAGGAGGGGAAGGCTGTCTTGTAGTCAGGGTGCAGGACGGAGCCCTGATGTTTGTGCAAATGTTCCAGGAAACTGGGGGGTGGGGTGGGGAGAGACCACACACACACACACACACACACAGACACACAAACACACACACACACAGGCTGGTGGTGAGGCCGGGAGAAACCAGACCCCGACCCTGAGCCCCCGGGCCCCAACACAGACAGCAGGGAAATGCGCTAACGTGGGCCGGACGCGCTTGTTCTGTCTCACGGACTCTGGCGACAACGCAAGGGACCAGGTGCTATCATTATCCCCACTCTACAGATGGGGGAACTGAGGCCCGGCAGAGTGATGTTCCTCCACCCAAAGCACATCCAGCGTGGGGAAGAGGCAGAGCTGGGAGCCAGATGCCAGGGCTTGAACCACATCCCCCTCGTGCTATCCTGTCTCCTGCCACCTGGGGTCAGCACGTCCTTACTCTGCCTCAGGCCCAACAGCAACCTCGGGAAGGTGGGGAGCGAGGGAGGCTGGTCCGTTGGGTGGTACCATCCAGTTCTCTCCTGGGCTGTTTTCTACCACATCGCGTGACAGTGAGTTATGTCTCTTCATTGTGTGACTGTCTCTCTCTCCCCAGACATGTTCATCTCTACCCTGAGCTGAAGACCAGCACCCCCACCACACCATGGGGACCGGAACCCTGTCTTGTTTTCAGAATCCAGCACAGGACTGGGCACTGAGTGAGTATTTCATAAACACAGTAGAAGGAGAGCAGAAGAGAGAGAATGCAGGCAAGCATCCAACATTTACCCATTGCCCACCCAGACCCCATCCATCCAAATATCCATCTATCCACCCAAACACCCAGCCAGCCATGCACCCACCCCAGACACCATCCATTCATCCATCCATCTAGCCAAACACCCGTCAATTCATCCATCCACATACCCATGTATCCACCCAAACACCCATCCACCCAAATATCCACGTATCCACCCAACCATCCATCCAGATCCCCATTCGTTCACCCAAACACCCTTCCATCCAGCATGCACCCACCCCAGACCCTCTCCATCCAGCCATCCAGCCAAACACCCATCAATCCATCTATCCAAATGCCCGTTGATCCAACCAAACGCCCATGCAGACCCACATTCGTCCATGCACCTACCCGAACTCCCATCCATATCCATCTGCCCAAACACCCACCCGTCTTACCACAGTCACAAGGGATCCTCACCTGTCACCCTCTCATCACTACTATTACCACCCCGCTCTCTAGAAGGGAAACTAAAGGTCTTTGAGGGAAATTATATTGCCCCAAACCACACAGCTAACAAGAGGCGGGGCCCGCGCAACCCCACTTCTGAAAGGTGGTCCCCACACCCTGCTCCCAAGCTTCCAGGAAGGCGGGTGGGGGGGGGTGCGCAGTGTTGCAACTCACCAGGCTTCTTTGCTGGGCTGAAGCGCGGGGGGTTTCTTCAGACTGCTCATCTTACTTTCATACTGCAGGGCAGAGAGGTGAGTGAGAGGCCGCGCCGCCGAGGGGCCTTCCCTTGGTGCCCTGACCCCCTTTCGACCCCGCCCGTGACAAAGAGGAGAGCCGGCCCACGTCTCCCCACCGGGCCCCCCTCCCTCCCGGGGTGGGGTCCTGGCCCCAGCTGTGGATGTGCTGCCCAGCACATGAACCTGCCGGCAAGACCTGGGCTGGGCCTTGCCTGGCTCCCCACCGGCCCCTTCTCCCACGGCGTGGGTATTGGCCTCCACCTGACTCTTGGTCTGGACACCAGACAGGCTCCTGCAGGCTCCCTCCCTGCTCATCTGATGGCCTTGGCCTCTGCTGAATGGTCCCGGGTCTGGCCCACCTGGCTGCCAGGGTTCTCTCTTTCTGCCCCGGCTCCGCCCATTATGCCTCAAACCTCTCCACCCTGACTTCCCTCTAGGCTGCTAGCCTTGGAGGCCGGCATCCTGGTCCCTCCACCTGCTGTGTTCTTGTCTTCCTGCCTCCCCTCCATTTCCCCACAGAGGGTCTCTGCCTCAGTCTCCCCCATTCCCCTCAGTCTCCGCCCTGTCCCCTCCATTCTGGGCCCCCCATCGTGAGACACCCCGGCCCTCCCATCCGCCCCCAGCTCTGTCTAGGGTCTCACCACCTCCTTTCTCTTGCCTCCCTCATCCAATGGTCTCCCCACGTCCCTCCTCCTCGAGCCTCGAACTCTCCCTGCTCCCACGCCCAGTGATGGCCTCAGGGACGCACGCAAGCCTCCGCTCCTATCGTCACCCTGTGTCGTGGTGTCTGTGGGTCTCCATCTGTCTCGTTCTCTGGCATGCGCCCACCTGGGCTGTCCTGGTGTTGGACCCACCGCCCAGACTGCTCTGTGACGGCCTGTCGGCCTCCTCCGCCCCGCCGGCCCCTTTCCCGGCTCCCTGGTGACATCGCTCTGGCCCTAGTGCCCCCCGCCACGGGAGGCCTCTTACCTGCAGCCCGGAGGACTTCCCTGGCCCAGCCGCAGTGGCCTTGGCCACACTCAGGGTCGGGAGGGTGCTGGCAAAAGCTTTGCTCTCGGCAGGAAGCAGAGGAGGGAGGCCTGAGGGTGGGGGTGGGGGCAGACAGGGCTCAGGGGTCACTGGCACAAAGGCCCCTCCACAACGTGACCCCCAAGCCTGCGCCCCGCTCTCCTCTGGTCCTTTGGCCTCGGCAGCCCCGCCAGCCCTGAATCGAGTGCCCCCGCAGATCTGGGGAGACAGTCCTATCTCCTCCACCTTCCCTGTCCTGTGAGGTCTGGGGGACCCGTTGGGCTCACACCCCCACAGCTCTGCCCCAGCCCGTCCCCCTCCCCCCGCCCACCCACCTTCAGGCCCCCCACTTCTCCTGCGTGGGCTACCTCTCCCCTACCTGCGGTGGCCATGGGTGCCGGGGCAGGGGGATGGCTGGGGGCGGTGGGGGTCCCGGGTGGGGCCTGCCCGCTGACCAGCACAGAGGCAGTGGGGCTGGCGAGGGGCCCCAGGCTGGCGGAGGTCTGCGGGGCGGCGGGGGCCCCCCCGGCCTTGTTCTGGAGAATGATTCCGGACGGCACCTGAGGAGGGGGACAGGTGGTTGAGGGGTAGGGGGCACACGCTAGGAGTGGCGGCAGCCAGGCACCAGGGCTGGGGATGAAGAGAAAGCTGGAGCAGGGGAGGGACTCCCCATCAGACTGGACGGGGAGGGCAAGGCTTGCAGAGTGGGTGGTGGGGCTGGTCCCTGCCTCCGATTACCTGGTGAAATCTCTCGAGAAGAGCCTTCGGCTGGGGCAGCGCCGGGAAGGGGGTGGTCACCATCTGGAAGGTCCGAGGAGGCGGTGGGGGGGGCGCGGCGGGCTCAGGGACCAGGTGGAGGGTCGGAGGGGGCGTGGGGGACTTGTGGGGCCCCTGGCCGGGCGGGAACTGGAGCTGGAAGTCGGGGGGCGTAGGGGCTGGCAGCCTGGTGGCTGTATCCGTGGAGGCCACGACAGAGGATGTGGAGGCGGGAGGGAGGTGGGGGGCTGGGGGCAGCGG